GTTGCCACTGAGTCCACTCCTACTCGTGGTGACCCGAGGCATGTCGGGCTAGAACTGTGCTCCAGAGGGTTTTCCACAGAGCATGTTGTCTGGTAAGCCTTGAATCAAAGTCTGCAGTTCAAACCCCACCAGCTACTCAAGGAAGCAAAAAATGAAGCTACCTGTTCCCGTAAGTTTACATCCTCAGAAACCCTGCATAAAGGCAATCAATCCCGCGGCCGTTGGTGGGCGGTTTTTACTAAAGTAGATCACCAGTCCTTTCTTCTGAGGAGCTTCTGGAGATAAAGGCGCCCTCCAGTCTGTTGGTGACCAGCCAAACGTGTTAACTGCTATGCCACCCAACAGTGCAGATGAAATGAAAGGGTATTGACTAACATTTCAGTGTAGTAAGGGCATCGTGCAGTTCGAATGAAAGGCGAGACTGAGGTCCTTGCAGGCAAAATGATTACAACTGGGATTTACTTTAAAACGCTCCAAAGAAAAGAGCAGAGGGACTAGATAAAACAAGATCAGTCAAAGGCTGCTAACTGTCGAAGCTAGGCAAAGTGTCCATAGGTGTTCATCAGAATAGCCTCCTAATATTTGCACGTTTAAAGTTTTCTATAACGAAAAACACCCATTACTTTTGGTGGAGGAAATGAATACACATTTAAAAGACGTATTTTGCAAGAACACAGATTAAACTCATTAAAATGGTCCCCTCTGGGGGAAGGGGACTGGAGGCCAAATTTCCCTAGATTATCTCAAATATGACTTCTTACACTTTGTTCTAATTCGGAGCGACACCCTCCAGCCATTGTGCTCTTGTGTGTGCCTTTACTTTCTGAATAAATCACAGAGTGAGAAAATGGATGGGGGGAAGAAGCGATGCAATCACGCCACCAGAGCTCTGAGAATGACCAGCAAGAAGCAGAAGAGGAAAGGGTGGGGACGGAATTAAGATTCAGAATTATGAGACCACTAATTTGGGGTGACCTCAGAAACTTTCAAAAATGGCAGATTCAAATTCTCTAAGACGTCTGTCCTGTGTGGCAGCGATTGTCCAACACTGCTTGATAGGATGGAACGGTGGAATGGTATGATGTCTGGATTAGGTCCTAATAAAATGGTTTGAAAGGAAAAAAAAAACAATTTAAAGGGAAAACAAAAGTCTGTCCTGGAACACAAGGGAAGAAACTCCAGTTAGGAAAGGAAAAAAAGTACATGTGTGTAGACATATATGTGTGCTTTAATATGTGTGTAATATGTGTGTGCATTTATACACACATATATACATATACATGACATAGGGTCTCTCTGAGTTGGGACGGACTCAATGGCACCTACGAACATTGATTAAATGCCCAAAAGAGAAGGGGAGGGGAGAAGTAAATGGAATTAGGTAGGAGAAGATGAGTGTGTGAGACATGTCTTTTTAGTGGAAAGGCAATGCCTCTCCTGAGATGGCTGAGAAACAAGAATTCAGCGAAGGAATCATATCAAGGTGCTGTTAGGTGCCTGTAGGTTGAGTCACTTCCACGGAAGCCCTCTCCAGTCCTGCATCACCCTCACGATGGTTATGTCTGAGCCTGTTGTGCCAGTCCTTGTGTCCACCCATCTCCCTAAGGGTCTTCCTCTTTTTTGCCAAGCCTCTACTTTATCAAGCATGATGTCCTTTTCCAGAGACGGGTCCCTTCGGCTAACATGTCCATAGTACGCGAGACATCTCCTCTCCTCGTCTTCGCTTCTAATGAGCATTCTGGCTGTACTTCTTCCAAAACAGATTTATGTGCTGTCAGTCCATGGTCATTTCAATATTCTTCACCAACATTGAACAGCCCTGGTGGCGTAGGAGGTTATACATTGGGCTGCTAACCTCAGGGTCAGCAGTTTGAAGCCACCAGCTACTCTACAGGAGAAAAAGGAGACATGCTAAGACTCAGAAACCCACAGGGGACAGTTCTACGATGTCCCATATGGTCACTAGGAGTCAGAATCAACTTGATGGTGGCGGTGAATTGATTTTGTCTTGTTTTTAGTTTCACCGACCGCATAATTCAAAGGCGTTGGTTCTTCTCTGGTTTCCTTTATTCGATGTCCAGTCTTCACCTGCCTATGAGGCGAGACTGTGGCTTGGGTCAGGTGCACCTTAGTCCTCAAAGTGACCGTTTTTTGCTCTTTCAATCTTAAAAGAAGTCTCTTGCAGCAGATTTACACAACGTAATACATCCCTTGATTTGACTGCCACTTGCTTCCATGAGCTTTGATGGTGGATCCAAGTAACATGTCTGTCCTATAGGGTCTCTGAGCCTGAATCAGCTTGATGGCAGTGGGTTTGGTTTCTGTTATCATGATTTTTTTTTCTTTGGTTTCTGTTATCATGATTTTTTTTTCTTTTTTAACATTTTATTAGGGGCTCATACAACTGTTATCCCAATCCATACACACATCAATTGTGTAAAGTGCATTTGTACATCGTTTCTCAAAACATTTTCTCTCCATCCAAACCCCCGACATCAGGTCCTCATTTCTGAGAAAAGCAGTCCACGTACACGCAGGCCAATAAATGCCCCTCAGGCTGCCTCAGGCTGCCTCATGATTTGCACACACACTGCTCGGATAAAGCCAGTCCATCCGTCTCTAGTATGTCAAGGCCTGATTCGAGCATTGTGAGGAACAGAAGGATTTCTCTTAAGTTGTCTCCCCAAAATATGTACCAGACTTAGCTGTTTAAGAGTGACTGTACAATAGGTGATCAGCGAAAGTAGGTCAAAGGTTATTCTCCTTAACATCAGCCATCTATAGTGGCTAGACTATTAGTCTGACTCACCCAAAATAAGACCCCTCCCTTCTGATAAGAATAGTGGTGGTCTGTTTACTTGCAGGAGATACCAGAGAGGGCAAACCTGCCCAAGGATGACCAAGGTTAGGTAGCCATTATCAGCTGTCTAGATGAAGCAGACGCTACTGTTTATTCCCACAACAAATGTGGGCACACCCCTAGGTCATCCCCCTCCTATTGATTGTATTGCCTATGTCCCTACCCCTCCCTGTGACTTAGGTTATTGTCCGCTATCAGGGGACTTGCATGCCTCTCAGAATAGTAATTGTCTGCTTTATTGTTTGTGACACCAGAATGGTCAAACTTGTTCAAGAATGAAATGTATTGCCCCTTTCTGTGATGTATGACTCTGTAATCAGATCCCCCTACAGTGACATGATGCGTGATTAGCAATAAATAATGAGGCTCCCTGGTTCTCGTGAGGGTGGCTGGAGAAGGTGGCGAAGGAGGACGAAGCAGTGGCTTCTTCTCTGATGGCTAAGCCCCCTCCACGAGGACCATCAAGCCGGGCTGAGGTGAGCTATGCTACCATGAATTGCGTCTGACTTCATTACTTGACTCCATCCTTTAACTCTCTTGCTCTCTATGACTTCACTATAATCTCTACTTATTATCGATGTACAATTGCGCCTACCGAACCTGTGATGTTTTGTGGGGTTCCCTCTTCCCTTTAACCCCACAGAGCATCCCAGGGAGTATCCATCCGGTAGCTTCCCTTCTGCCACCAGGAGGTGCCCGTGGACTCGCGGCGGCCCAAACCTCCAGCAGCTGGGGCTGTTAAGTGGCGGTCCGCCCCCCCACGAGAGACTCCTCATGGGGTGCGCCTCCCACGGCCTCCCACGGAGCAGGAACTTGCGCTTCGGAGAAAAGCAGTCCACGTACACGCAGGCCAATAAATGCCCCTCAGGCTGCCTCTAAAAATAATGTCTTTTTCAAAGCTCGATCAAGAAATGGAATCAGCTTTGCTTAACATGTGGTGCGCCTGCCTGTCTGAGAGGCTGCCCCCAGTAAGTTCCTAGAGAGGCCGGTTCAGGCGCCCTTTGTCATCACCGCCCCCCACGGTCGCGGCCAGGCCGTGGCTCGAGCCATTGTGATGGCTGGCGACTCCCCCCGGCTTCAGAGCGCACCCAGCCAGCGGC